GAAAATAATACGACGCACACAGACAGATATTAAAAGTTCTGGCTGCTTTCTCGGTCCCCGCCTGATTTGTTGCTTATTTAAATATTATTACAGCGTGACATCAGACAGTCCAGAAACACACATCATGGCTAAGCCGTGCTGCACTATCAGCAGTTGCAGCCTGCGGCACAATGTGATCACACTGTAGCACGTTACAAATCTATGTTCCCATACAGAGGCCTTAAGTCACCGTCTACTTCATCTAGAACAATCATAACATCAGTTCCCCTAATGTTATGATTGTTCTAGACTAAATGAATGATGATGCAGCCAGGACACAACGCATACACGCTGCAGCAAAAATATATTCTAGTTCTATTTTTGTTTTGCGACGTTAAAGTTTATAGCATCACTAGCACCAGATACGACAGACTCGAACTTCCAGGACAATGAGATCATGTTCCCAAAGCAGCTACCCACGCCAATCGACCTCACTTGGAAAAAACATTTAAAGCAGAGTTCAGAAAGGTAATTAAAGGTCAGACATATTAGAACTTTCATATAATATTGCACGGTAATATCCTTAATCAAGCTTCATCAAATGGAAATGATGTATGTGTGTGTGTGTGTGTGTGTGTGTGTGTGTGTGTGTGTGTGTGTGTGTGTGTGTGTGTGTGTACTTGTGTAACTGAGTCAATCAAAGTATCAGTAATTGGAAAGAATTTGACTGGCAGCCCAGTGAGAATGTGAGAGTTGGTGTGAGTCATACCGCATGCTTGTGCCATGCTAACTTCAGCTTATAAGGACAAAACTCTGAGGGAGAGAAACAGGCCCGAGGGCAGAAACGGCCAGAAAACCCTCTGAGAGAGGCAAAAAAAGGACCACGACTGTTTTCACATTAAACTGCAGTCTGCAGGCATCTGCGCGTGTGTGTGTGTGCGTGTGTTTGTGTATGCGTGTGGAAGAGAGAAAGATTGGCCACCAGCAGAGACACTTCACCTGACCAAGAACCATTTCTCAAAACCCTCACCTTGCGTGACATAACCATTACGGGGGGAAACCCGAAGACGTGTGTAGGTCCGTAAGAGTTTGCTGGTTTGTATCGTGTTTGGTTGCGGGGGGAGCTGATCTTTGATTGACAGGAAGACGTTAAGCGCTCATGATTATGCAACAGACCTAAACATGATGTCAAGGACTACAGGGTTTACCGGCCCCCACACCAGAGCGCTACTTCCTGAAAGAAAGCTCTGAAATCACCTCATACTGAAACCACAAAGACCCTCTGTAGTTACCACCAAAGACTCGCCTCCCTATGAACGGACATTGCATCTTCTCCCTCCGTCAGATCAGCCCTGTCTCTTTGTCTGCTTCTGAGTCCGTCTGTTTCCGGGTGCTGAGAGCCGTGTGTCATGTTACCGTGGAGATGGGTGGTGTAAATGGAGCCATTTGTCGACATGACACCCCGGCTCAGAATTCCCTCCTCTGGAGCACAGGAGAAAGACTCCTGTGTTCACAGGAGTCTTTCTCCCTCTCTCTTTTTTTTCTCTTCCCCCCCTGAAATGTGTCACTCCCTCCTTCCGTCTTCCCATCCTCTCTATAACTGACGCCGCTGCCTTTACTTCCTTTCCCTTTCATCCGTTCCCGCGAGTGCTGTCGCAAGCACAGAAGCGTGCGCAACAAAATGACCTTTGACCTCTTCGGAAATCTTAAGACGTACAACATGTCCCTTAAAGCCACTAAGGAGCCTCGGGACTTCTTTTTCCTTACCCCACTGTGCCCCCATAGAGCCACCCGCGGGCGCACGAGGAGAAGAAGCACTCCGCCACAGCGTGATGGAGCTCCTGTGCCGATGCCAAGCGGGCGTGTCGAGAGGCACAGGCCCCCTCGGCATCTCTGAAACCCTGCAGGCCGGAGGAGTTCCTCAGGTCCAGCACGAACACTCGGCCTGAGAGGAGAGGGAGGGAGAGAGAGAGAGAGGGGGGAGTAAGAGGAAGACCTCTGAAACCTCCTATCTCCTCTTATTAAACTCTTATGCTGAACAAGGGCACACGGGTCTGACCAGTGAGTTTCTGGGTCTGCAAGAAGACACCTCGCCTAATTCATAAGTGCTTAGTGAAATGGGATCAAATCTAAAATCCTTCACCTTTTCTGTCAGAATTGAAGACAAATATATTTTGAGACATTTAACTACAACTGCTAGTTTAAAATAATGAATATTATTATCGAGATTATCACCGCAGGAAATTCCAGGTCGAAATAGATTCCACGATAGATTCCATTCCATATTATTCCATAATGGATATAATTAAATAAATAACAACAGCAACAGACTTCAGTGCATTGGAGCAGATTTTGACGTATGTGGTATTGGCAACAGGGGAGATTAATTTATCACCTCACTGTCACACCACCAGACCGAATCGGAGGATTAATCCTGGACTCTAATTTGAATTCATATAGAAATAAAATAAAATTTCAGATTGAAATAATACCATCAGTTGCTGTTCAGAACCACTAAAGCAAATGTTCATAACTTCTTAATTAACTGACAAGACATTGGGATTAATTTGTGTCTTCACAATGAATGATCAGGAATCAGGAACAATTATTACCAAAATATGTTAAGACATACAAGGAATTCGACTTGGCGGTTGGTGCATAACATCAGACAGTAAAATACAGAAAAATTGTATTCTAGTAGAAAAGCTTAAAATATGAACTTACCGTCTGCGTTGACAACAGAAGTCCCCACAAGACAAGTCAGGCATGCAAAGAGCAACACTGTGCTCTTAAAACCACCCAGCATCTTGTTTTTTGGCAAAATCTCACTTTTTTATGTTAAAAAAAAACGTGTCCAAAACTTCTGACCGACTTGATGTGTTCACGCAGACTGTCCGAGGAGAGCAGCGAGGAGGCGCTCGGTGAGGAGGGAGGGTCACACCGGGGAGAGAGACCGACTAGCGAGGCGCAGTTTGTCTCCCCCAAATAGTCGCCCTCGCGAGCAGATGAAGCATCGGTGAGAAAACTCGCACGTCCCCGTCAGTAAATACGTCACAGATCAAAATCTTGAGGGTGGGCAAAGGCGGTCAGATGGACTGCAGGATTGCTCCTTTATAGAGAGGGAGAGGGAGGGAGAGAGAGGGAGAGGGAGGGAGGGAGAGGGAGGGAGATGTGGCATGGAAAGCCTCGGCTAAATGTCATACATGTGAGGTATACACGTGTGTATTTGTGTTTGAGAGTAACATACTGACACTGCATCGCTATTTAAAGACAATTTAACATCCGACGGCTAAACGGGGGCCTCAGGTTCAGAACACTCAGCAGAGTTGATCCTTCGTGCTTTAAATCTTAATTAAGGTGAGTTGTCCCCTCTGCCAGGCCCTACTTCCCTCTATTGGACGGTGTGTGTTAATGTGTGTGTGTGTGTCCCGTTGGGTGAGGGAGACACACATGGACCATAAAATTCATCACAGCGGGCACATGCGGCAATGAATGAATGAACGCATTTGTCCAAACATACAAATTCCATGTGCATTAACAGGAGAGTTGTAGATTGGCACCACAAGGCCCATTTAGATGTTATGGTATGTTCTGCAGCTTTCGAATAATTGAGAGAAAATGGAGATTTGATCATTTTATGACACCGTGGAACCAAAGTTTAAATAGGTCTTAATTGCGTAAAAATTCTATAGTGTTCTAAATCATGTCTGTGGATAATTATTAAGTGTGTAAACAGCATTTCATTGTTGGAGTTGATTCTCTGTGTTGCAAATAATAATAGATAAATCTGATGGTTATTTTTCTCCATTATTTCATTGTTTGATAGGAGAACCGTCCCTCATGATTAGCCAAATGTCAAAAGCAAAGGAGGAGGAGAGACGATGAGAACATTGGGATTTTCCTGCTTGTTAAATTAATCATGACTGTGACTTGCAAGGAGAGGGAACAGTTGGAATGATGTTATTTTTCATAACAGTCACACATAAATTCCGCAAGAAGAGACACAACAGTTGGGGACTCACACATACGCATCCCTCTCCATTACTTTCTGTCACGTCCCACCTTTTCCATTTTCATAATTGTCCCAATGGAGTCAGATCACGCCGCTGCATCGGTGGCTCCAAATACCCAACCAATGTTTTTTTTCCATTTGGGTCACTCTTCTCTGTGTTTCTCTG